TCACAGAAGTTACACACCTAATTAGACACCTACTGTATCACTGCTGTCACTCAAAGACCAGAGAGCACAGGGCATGACCTCTAGGACTCAACAGGGGAAAAGGGCCATGAAGTCAGGTCCTGGTCACCAGGAGAAAGGTGCACCCAGAAGCCACAGGGTCTTGGGAGGTGATCCCTGGAGATTCAAGGCTTCCTTTTCAATCAGGAAATGGGCTGTCTGTGCTGTGGCATCGGGGATAAAGAGTTTCAAGCTAAAGGGACTCAGGCTAGGACAGGGGAGAAGACTTCACCTTGAGCAAAGGCCTCGTGCACAAAACTGTGGGGGCAGCCCACACATTCACCTGGAGTCCACGTAGGGCAGTTGGGCAAGTCCAGGTCACATGACTCCATCTGAGTCATAACCTGAAGGGCCATAAGCATCACACTAAGGAGACCTGTCTCAGAACACCTGGCTGCTTTCCTGTCTCTGCCCCCTGACTAGCTGTGTGCCCTTGATCAAGGGACTTGACCTCTCTGGTCCCACTGTGTGCAGCTGGGGAGATATGGTAAACCTACTTCCAGAGAGGGAGACCACACATCTAAGTTTGCTGCTGGCCTGGCATTCCTTGCATTTAGTGGCCTCTTCTCCCTGCTGAGGTGCCCCAGGTTGGACACTAAATTTCTTTTTATTTTTTCCCCCCCCCCCCCCCCCCCCACCACCACCTGTTTTTCTGTTATAATTCTTGTTAGTCCTCTGTATAGAATAGGGTAGATTTTTAAAAATATATATTTTATTGATTTTTACAGAGAGGAAGAGAGAGGGACAGAGAGTTAGAAACATCAATGAGAGAGAATCATCACTCAGCTGCCTCTTGCACACCCCCACTGGGGATGTGCCCGCAACCAAGGTACATGCCCTTGACCGGAATCGAACCTGGGACCCTTCAGTCCGCAGGCAGACGCTATCCACTGAGCCAAACTGGTTTCAGCTGGACACTAAATTTCATCATCTCTATCCTCATTGTTTTAAAGACAAAGAAAGGTGGTAACCAGTGTTCTGCAGGGAGTGAGCGCTGTCTCATTATTTGCCATCATGCTCTCCTGAAGCTGGAAGATGTAGCACAGGGAGCAGCTGGGTATTGAGAAGGTCCATAGGCCAACACTGTGTAGACTGTGTTCGAAAGAGAAGATCTGCGTAAACTGGATCTCAAGAAGCTCTTTCAAGGAGTCAGAAAGATATCAGGTAAGAATGGATCCAAATGCAGTGCTTAACTTTCAACTTTGACCTTTCCCCTCGTATCTGAATAGGATGATCTCTGCATCTCTTGGAGGATGGAGAGGAGCAGGGAGTTCCATCGTCTGTAGTGGTCCTCCTAGGCCTCCAGGGTTTAATGGAAGAGCACTCTCAGGTTTATAATTAATAGCTGGCAGCTGACGTGTAGCTACCACCTACTCTGTGCCCAGCCCCGTTCTAAGGACTTCTGGGCTGCAAGTCATTCAGGCCTCACAACAATCCTAGGCCTCTTCCCCTTGTACCAAGAGACCCCGGGGTGACAGCCCACCACAGGCTTGGCTCAAGGTATGGGAAGCACCAATAGCAATAAACCTCTCACTGCCATCAAGATGTCTCCAGGCCCAGGGATTGTCATGCATTTCATTCTGGGAAAGCACTTCCCCAGCCAGCCTCCAGATGCTGGCAGGATCTTAAGGAAGAAGAGGCTCACCTCCAAGGACACCGTTGACCTCAGAAGGGAGGGGCAAAGTTCGTTTACAGAATTGGGGGGAAAGTAAAGTGGAAAGTTCCTTGTGTCAAAATACCGTAGAACTAACTTCTTCAACTAACTTACAACGAGTGAGAAATTCAAGGATTATATACACTAAAGATCCTTGTGTCGATTTTATTCTCAGTGAATCACCTAGAATGACAATAAATCTCACTGAATGTCATTGCTTTTATTAAGGATGGCAAGACCTCAAATGAAGAAGATTAGTATGGGTCTCCCTTAGGTCTTGGTTGAGCCAAAGTACTGGTCAAATAGAATTCTACCCGCACATTATGTCCCCCTCTGACTGGATAGCTCACCTCTACAGCATGGTCTGTCATAGCAGGTGGCCAAGAGATGTCACACCCACATGGAAACTAAAGTTGACTTCTGTGCTCCAGTTTCTGAAATGAATTTGGGGACCTGAGTCTAAGGACCTTTGGGAGCAGAGACCATCAGACCAGCAATATGAGCATGTGACCTTTTGGTTTATCTATTTCTGCTGTGAACACTTTTAAATGAGTCTCTTGTGAGCCGAGTCATGGTTCTTGGACACCTGAGCGCAGTCATCGTGGGCTTTGGAGAAAACATGGAAGTAAAGAAACACAGACTCAGTGTCAATGGCAGGGAGTTGCTTCTGCCAGGAGGCCCAAGGTCCAGCAGACAACAGGGCAGGCCCATAACCACGGGGAACCAGCAGAGCCCTCCCTGGGTCCTGTTCAAGGAGGAAGTCTCCCAATCATTATGAATGTCATTCATGTGCCTTTAGAATGATGGCCAACAACGGTCAACTGGGAGAGAGTGCACACAGAAGAACACCACCTTCCTTATTCCTAGCATCTTCCTAAGTCAATATTGTGCTTGGCAACTTGGGGTGCAGCTGAATGATGGAAGAAATGGGCCCCAAAACATCCACAGAGAGGACAGTGCATTTAGGACTCATTAACTATTGGCTCACCTCTCAGGGTCTCACCCATGTCTCTTTCTTTACTTGAAGCCACGATGGCTGTCTGGTTGCTCCAAGTGGGCAACACTTACACTGATGAGTCTTTTCTCTCACATGAGGCGTCCTGCCTGTCTGACACCAAGAGGCACACTCTCCAGGCTTCCCTTCCCTTGCCGAGTGCCATTGCACTCAGGGCCTCCGTATCTGCTGTTGCTGCTTCTAGAAGACTCCTATCCAGTGGGTCCCTGGGAGTCACTGTCCACTGATGCAGGAAATGGCACACAACCTACAGAGTCCTGCCGGGATTTTCTGTCGGGACCTCCTTCAGGATGATGCCCTAGCGGTTTTCTGTTGTTCACGACACAATCTCTTTCCTTTGTCTCATACTAGAGGCCTGGTGCATGAAATTCCTGCAAGGGGGGCTGGTGGTGTCCTTCAGCCTAGCCTGCATCCTCTCCAATCTGGGATCCCTCAAAGCATCAGTAGTATTGGGCCTAAATGGGAAATCGGACATCCATCTCATAATCCAGGACTGCTGGCTCCCAACTGCTCATCTATCTGGCTTCCGGATTGTCCCTAACTGCTTCTGCCTGCCAGGCTGATTGCCTCTAACTGCACTCTCCAGCAGGCCTCGTCATCTCTAACTGCCCTCCTCTGAAAGCTTGGTCACCCTAACTGCTCTCACCTGCAGGTCTGCTTCCCCTCAACTGTTTTCCTCTGTAGGCCTGGATTCCCAAAACTGCCCTTCCTTACAGGCCTGGTTGCCCCCAACTTCCATCCTCTGCCTGTCTGGTCACCCCTAACTGCCCTCCCTTACTGGCCTGATCATCCACAACTGCCCTCCCTTGCAGGCCTGTTTCTCCCAACTTCCCTCCTCTGCTGGCCATCTTGAGGTGGCCTTCTGGTATCCACATGGTGGCAACCATCTTTGCCCATAGGGGTCAGCCATTTTGTGTACTGGAGTGGTGGGCAATTGGCATATTACTCTTTTATTAGATAGATTTCAATGGGAAGCTTATTTATTGACTTCCAGTTCGAGTTCAGCTGCACAGGTGCAAGGTCTCAGTCTACCTCGTCTGTATATCTGAATCCGTGACACGAAGCACAGGACCCAGGCTTAGGAGAATGATGGTTGTTATGAACATGGATGCTTAAAGGGATGGATGGATGGATGGATGGATGAATGACTGGATGGATGGAAGGATAGGTGAGTGGATAATAGGTGGATGGATGGATGGATGGAAGGATGGATGAATGATTGGATGGATGTATGGATGGAAGGATGGGTGAGTGGATAATAGGTGAATGGATAGATTAATGAATGGAGGGATGGATGGGTGGATGAAAGGATGTATGTATGTGTGCCTGGATGGATGCATGGATGTGTAGATTAATCCTGTGGGTTAGTCATGATTACCCTTCCTAGGCCCTGTGCTCAGTTTCTATTACTCCATGTATTTCTAATACATGGAGTGCCTGGCATTCATACAAAAGCCGCCTCGGTGTCATTCATGCTCATTGTGGAAATTGAAGCTCAGGACAAGCTGCACTGTCTTTCCCAAGGTCACCTCGTGGTTAGCGGTGGCATCCAAGATGCAAATCCATATCTGCATGAACCCAGATATCTCCCACCATCCAGTGCTGCCTTTCTCAAGCATCAGGGATTCTAGTTCTCACATCATCTCCTGAATGAGTGGAAGGAAAACCCTAAAGCTAACAAAACTGACCAAAATATAACTCTGCATTCATAACTTTCTACATTCACAACATTCATAAATTTCTAGAGTTGGCTTAACTAAATGAGATTGTCTTTGTACAAACAACCTTTAACCAAGGTGAGAAGCTATTGCTATTTCCCAGCAAAAGGCACCTGACTTAGTCCATGGGTGAGGAACGTGTGCCCTCCACAGGTGCTGGGTGGTATTGCACCCAGCCCAGGTACTGGGTGAGGCAGGAGGCTTAGGAAGAGAATGTGAAGGTCTCTGTGCCTTATAGAAGAAGCAGAAGAAAACAGAGAGGAGTAAGGGGGCTAGAGGGAGAAGGGGAGAGGAGGAGACAGGTGGACGGGGAGGAAGAGCTGGAGGAGGAGGAAGAGATAAATGAGGACCCAATATTAATAAAACAAGAATGACAACACAGACGCACAATGTTGTAACTTACTTTATTTAGCAAGCATTTCAGCATTAATTTTATGTAATTTCATTACCATGATTGCTGTTATGAAATCTATGAGGGTTTTTAAGGCTCTGACTCCTTGGTTTCTACAAAGAGACCATAAGGTGGCAGGGTTCTAGGTGATTCTCACTGTCCTTCTTGGACCGATGCCAGGTCCATCCCGTGACTCATTCCATCATCTGTGGGAGGGACTAAGTGGCCGACAGGTAAATAAAAGGAGGGTCGGGGCTCTCACCTCCAAAGTGAGTCCTACTTCCCTCCCACGTCCGTGTGACCAGCCAGCAGCTGCTGCCTGAGCCATGAAGCTGGTGATAGTGCTCATGCTGACTGCCCTCCCCCTTTTCTGCTATGCCGGTGAGTGTGACAGCCACAGGCTTTGTGGGGAGGTAGGTGTCAGGGCCCCTGGGGCAGACCTCCTGCTCCCCTAGCCCCAGCCTAGAGCGCCTCATTTCCCTGCGTTCTTCTTGGCTCGATTGTGTTTGGCTCTCTGGGCTGTGGAAGCCAGGGAGCTGGGGGCTTTGGGTGCGGGAGGCGGGACAAGGAGGCAGATATCCTGGGGCCTGAGAACACCCTAGACCCGGAGTTTGCTCTCCCAGAATGGAGGATTCAGACCATTGCCCATAAGCTCTCTGAATGTCTGTCTCTGCTGGGAGGTAAGATGATGGCCATCGTCCTGGCTATGCCCAGCAAGGAGGTGGTGCCTCCGGATCTGAGCCGGCTTTTGTGTGCTTTCTTCCCAGGTTCTGGCTGCCAAGACTTAGATTATGTGATTGAAAAGATCCTTGATCCCCAAGAGTCCAAGACTGAATTCATCCAAGACCTTGAGGAGTACATCCCTGGTGGGATTACTGAGATGGCCCTCAGGGAGTTTAAGCAGTGCTTTCTGGACCAGAACAGCGAAACCCTGAACAACTTTGGCGTGCTGGTGGTAATGGTGGCTTCTTCTTCCCGCTCTGGCTGCTCCGGCCGGGGACCAGTGGGCTCTCAGTTCTCTACTAACTACTTTTTTCTTAGTCACTATTTTTTAAGATGTATTTTTATTGATTTCAGAGAGGAAGGGAGAGGGAGAGAGCGAGAGAAACTTCAGTGATGAGAGAGAATCATGGGTTGGCTGCTTGCTGCACGTCAACTACTGAAAATCGAGCCCACAACCCATCATGTGCCCTTGACTGGAATCAAACCCAGGTCCCTTCAGTCCGCAGGCCAGTGCTCTATTCACCGAGCCCATCCAGCTAGGGTGGTACTGGCGTCTTGAAAGCAAGTGTTGTTCACGCTTCATGTCATCTCAGGGAATGCGGTTGTTGGGAGTGTGAACAGTCTGACATCCAGAGAGCCATGCAAGGGGCGGGGCTGCTGTGCCTGCTCACGTGGTGGAGTCTGTATGTGAGAAAGTCCACGGGGGAGGAGAGCGTGTGGGCAAAGGCTTGCCTACCCTTCAGCCCCCAAACCTCTGATTCTTGAGAGGACTCTCGAGTTTAAGAGTGAGAAACACACGTAGGAAAGCATTTTAAAGCATTTTCTCAAGCCCTAGGCCAGTGGTCGGCAAACTGCGGCTCGGGAGATACATGTGGGTCTTTGGCCTCTTAAGTGTGGCTCTTCTACAACATACTACGACCTGGGCGAGTCTGTTTGGAAGAAGTGGCCTTAGAAAAAGTTTGAGTTTAAAAACTTTGGCTCTCCAAAGAAATTTCAATCATTGTCCTGTTGATATTTGGCTCTGCTGACTAATGAGTTTGCCAAGCACTGCCTAGGTGGTTTGGCTCAGGGCATTGAGCTTTGACCTGGGGACTGAAGGGTCCTGGGTTTGATTCTGGTTAAGGACACTTGTTTGGGTTGTGGGCTCAATCCCCAGGAGGGGGCGTGCAGGAGGCAGCCAATCAATGATTCTCTCTCATCATTGATGTTCCAGTCTCTCTCTCCCTCCCTCTCTGAAACCAATAAAAATACATTTTTGAAAAAAGACTTTTCTCAAGAGAGCAGAGAGTTACACGTCATCAAGAGCCCACTCTCAGGAGCGCAGTGCCCAGGCCGTTCGAGCACCACGTCTGCCAGTGTGCGTGGCCGGACGTCCTGGGCAGCAGGAGGGCCCGGGAGTGGAAACCGTGGAGGTGGGATCGTTGAAAACCAGAGTCAGTGTAAACGATGAGACCGTCTTTCTATTTAGAGCAGATGGGGCTCAGTTCTTTCCTGGGTTCATTCCCCCCAAAGAGCCATGGGAACAGCCCAGAGCAGCCAGGGGAGCGCTGGCCTCAGCAGAGTCACACACTATTGGTGACGAGGTGCTTTATGACGAGCTGGGGAGCTGAGGAATGTGGGGAAAGGCACTGCTGGGCTGTGTGCGGTGGCCGGTCTCTGAGGCACAGGCAGAGCGTGGCTGCAGGGTAGGGGGAAGGGAAAGGGGGAAGCACAGAGCCTGGTGCTGCCCTTTGGCGAGAGGAGAGGGTGCTGGAGGAGGGGACCGTGACAAGACGAAGCTGTACATGGAGGAGGGAAGGGTCCTGCTTGTGGGACAGCATTCACCGTGGTTCCAGCTGAAAGCCTCAGCACCCTCCATGGGGGTGAGGGCCTTCTCTTTATAAACGGGGGTCAAACAAGCCCCTGGAGTGCGAGTGTCCTCAGCTCCGTGGCTACAAACTCGTGGCCGGCATCAGGCTGCAGGCCCTCAGCCCCCCACATGCACACGGGGCTGAGACTCGGAGCAGGGGCAGCACGGCCTGGGCACGGGAGGCCTCGTTCATGGCGGAGGAACCACACAGGGACCGACTCCCGGGGCCCCGGGGGGTGGGAGGGAGGGATGGGTCTGGGTAGGGAGGCCTTGGCCTCAGGCTGTGCCTCCTGAGCCCCAGAACAAGGGGAGATCCTGGCTGAACCCCCGCCTTGCTCTCTCCGTGGCGGGAGGACAAGGAGAGGCCACGTCTGTGCTTAGGATGGTTTGGGGAGTGTGGGAGGGAGTGACTCTGTCTGTTTTCTAGGCAACCATATACAACAGCGAGCAGTGTGCCTCCTACTAGCCCACAGACCTTCCTCGGACCACAGAGAATGGCCAGACAGCAACTTTCCCCTACTGAGACCACAGCTTAGCTCCCCTCTGGGCCTTTTGATCCTGAAACCGCAAGACAATGTTGAAACCTCCTGTACATTTATTTCAATAAAGCGCCTGCAACCAGTGCTCTCTTTGCTTACTGACCTGAACGGGCCTCAGGAGACTCCCCACAATGCACTGCGCACACGCTGGGCCCCGGGCGCTCAGTACAGAGTTGTGGCTGAGATGCGGAATCTGCAGGGCGCCTTGCCCCTGACCATCCAAAGCCCAACAGGACCCTGACCCTGGGAAAGTGCCCCCCACCACTTTCAGGGACCCTCTGGGCTGAGCTCAGGTCTAGGACCTCCATGT